AAATTAGAGACATTTATAGCTAAGTGGATGCACATTGAGGCGATACTCTTAAGTGAAATAAATAGGACACACATGTATAAATACCGAATAGTTTCTCTGGTGTGAGAAACTGAAAGTGTAAATAAGGACTAAAAGGTATAATAGGTAATGTGAAATACATTGCTTTTTATTGCCCTTCTAAGTGAAATTAACTACAAATACTTTTAAAAATCTCCACTTTAATTTGTAATACAACAAACATTAGCTATCTATGCGTGTCTCACATTAAAGGAAAGAAGAGAAACCTTTTTAGCAGCCTCGATTATTTTTAAGTGTGTGGAGAATTCCTAACACCAAAAGCTAGCATTAATGTACCAGAGGATCCAGTCATAGTGGAGAAAAATGAAAGCCTGCCATGTGGTCAAATAACTTTAGAGAATGTAGAGTACTGAGAGGATAGGTTATTTCTGGAGAAGAATTTCTAGAAGAGCTCTGGTAATTAGGTGGGGGCCACTAGGGTACACACTCACAGGTGGGATGCTGAACAATACCGCTTGGTTTCGCCGCGAGTAAATCTAAAAAATTGCAACACTGCCATCTAGTGTTCACGAATGGAAATATTTTAATATTTATTTTTCATTTGCTTTACAATGATTACTTCAGAACTCAATGACTCTAGCTGCTAAATTTAATAATTTGACCTCATTTTTGATGTTTATCCATCATGCAGTTTTAAATGTATTAAGTCTCTTTCCTCCTTGGCTTATACAGTTAAGTCTTCTCTTGTTTTGGAGGGGTTACAATAGCTGAAGAGGGTAGGATTTCAACCTCTGCCTCTTTCCAAACTTTATTTCCATCCTTACACAACACAGGATGATTCAGTGGATACTTGAGGACACCAAGTAAGTAACTGCCCTGCCCCCTTTTGCTCAATCTCTCCGCAGACTTTTAAAAAATTTGAATCAATTTTAGATTTATGTGAAAGTTGCAGCAGTAGTACAGAGAATTCCCACGGATCCCTCACCTAGTTTTCCCTGGTGTCAGAGGTCTGCGTGAGCATGGTACACCCACTGTGTGCCCAGCACAGTGGAAGAAAAGCATTGAGCACAGGGCTGTAACATTGCAGACATAGAAGCTTGGGGAGCAGTGAAGGGCTGGAACAACAAACAGGTTATATGTAAAGCATTAGGGATCAGATTGTCAACCAGCTGCTCAATAGCTGGGCTGGAAGCTAGAAACATCATAAAGCAATACCTTCAAAATTCTAAGTGGAAATTATTTGTCATAAAATTCAGTAATAAACTTATGTCAAGGATAATGCTAGACTAAAGACAGCGTCAGAACTATAGCATGTTGAAAATTTTGTCTTCCACACCCGTTTAATCAAAAAGTGGTCAGAGGACTTGTTTCTTGGAAAGAAAGAAGCAAAAAGAGAGAAAGACAAGAAGAGAGATGAAGGGACCTCCCCGAATGATGTGGTGGGGATTATAATTGTGGATTACAACTCTGTGGTGGCCTAAAAGTAAACAATGTACAATGCAACAGGAAAACAGAGTTATCTGAACAACTCAGATTTATAGTTTTGTCAGAGGGTTTGGGGATGAATTAGTAATATGTGTAGAGAAAGTTAAATAAATATAAAGAGCAGAGAGTTGATTAATCCCAAAGAAAATTAAAAAATTGGCCAGGTGTGGTGGAGCATGCCTGTAATCCTAGCACTTGGGAGGCTGAGGCGGTGGGCTTTCCTCAAGTTCAAGGCCGGCGTGGGGTACATAATGAGTTCACGGTCAACCTGAACTACATAGCGAGACCCTGACTCAAAAAAAGAAAAAAAAAAAAAAAAGCAAAAGTAAAATTGCGTGTGAGCATGACATATGTCATGACCCAACTTTGAATCTTTGAAACATACATTGGCCCCGTAGTGTGAATATTGAATTTATTTAAATATAAAAGATAATATTTTTGTTAGATGGGTGGGTTAAGGAAGGAGAGAAGGAGAGGGAAAGAGAGAGACACATGATGCTCTAGATCTTCCATTCCTATATCCAAAAGTGAATCGTTTCTTAATATTTAAAAGAAATTGAAGAAGCACCAGTATCAGCCTCTTCTCTAAATAACATGGGAGGCTGCTGCAGCGCCGAGGCCGGGAGGCAGAGGTGCGCTCCGGCGAACGTGCCTGTCGGATCGGAGCGGCCCAGCTGCTGGGGCCCTTGGACGTCTGGGCCGGTCGGTGCTCTACTCCCGTGAGGATGCGGCTGTTCCTGTGGCTGCTGGAGCAGTCGGTGCGGAAGCAAATCGAGCGCTACTCGCGCTTCTCGCCATCCCTGCTCTCCACCAAACAGTTCCTGGACCGTGGGAGAGATAATGCATGTGAGAAAACTTCATACATGTTTCTACGAAAGGAGCTGCCCGTGCGACTGGCTAACACAATGAGGGAAGTCAATCTTCTGCCTGACAACTTACTGAACCGCCCTTCGGTGGGATTGGTTCAGAGTTGGTACGTGCAAAGTTTTCTTGAACTGTTAGACTATGAAAATAAGAGCCCTGAGGATCCAAAGGTCTTAGATAACTTTCTACGAGTTCTGATTAAAGTGAGAAATAGACACAACGATGTGGTTCCTACAGTGGCACAAAGAGTGATTGAATACAAGGAGAAGTTTGGATTCGATCCCTTAATTAGCAGTAACATTCAATATTTTCTGGATCGGTTTTACACCAGTAGCATCTCTTTTCGCATGCTTATTAACCAGCATACACTTCTGTTTGGTGATGACGCTAATCCTGCGCATCCTAAACACATAGGAAGTATTGATCCCACCTCTGATGTGGCTGCTGTGGTGAAAGATGCATAGGAAACAGCTAAGATGCTGTGTGGACAGTATTACGTGGTAGCTCCAGAGCTGGAAATTGAAGAATTTAATGCCAAGGCATCAGACAAACCTATTCAGGTAGTTTATGTCCCCTCACATCTGTTTCACGTGCTGTTTGAGTTGTTCAAGAACTCAATGAGAGCAACAGTTGAACTGTATGAAGATAGCAAAGAGGGCTGCCCTGCTGTTAAAACTCTTGTGACTTTGGGTAAAGAAGATTTGTCCATTAAGATAAGTGACCTAAGTGGTGGAGTCCCACTTTGCGAAATAGACCATCTTTTCAACTACATGTATTCAACTGCTCCTAGACCTGGCCTGGAGCCCACAAGAGCTGCCCCTTTGGCCAGATTTGGTTATGGTTTGCCAGTTTCTCATCTGTATGTTAGATATTTTCAGGGAGATCTAAAACGATATTCCATGGAAGGAGTAGGTACTGATGCTGTCATTTATTTGAAGGCTCCTTCTAGTGAATCTTTTGAGAGGCTGCCAGTTTTCGATAAGTCTGCCTGGCGCCATTACAAGACCACACCTGAAGCTGATGACTGGAGCAATCCCAGCAGTGAACCCAGGGATGCATCAAAATACAAAGCTGAACAGGACAAGATCAAGACAAATAGAACTTTGTGAGGAACTGAATGCTGTGGTTCTCTCTTGTGAAGAAAGATGATCTTCTGCAAGTCAGCGAGAGAGCACTTTTCCCCACCAACTCTGAATTATTCCCAGTGCTTGAGTGTGTATTTTTTCCATACCAGCTAGATCTTTTCATGGAGCCCTTCCTATAGTTATTCCAGCCATAAGTTCCACTAAAGTAGTAACTCGAGTAATTTTTCATGTTATTTTGCTGTGACATGGTTGGCATTTATCACAAAAGAACACGGAGCCTCCTTTTGAGCTCTTGCACCCTTGCACTGCCTGTCTCATCATCTTAGAGCCTAGTGTCTCAAGTCTTCCCTGGATTCTGAGTTCTTTCCCATCCCAGATGCAGCAGTTCCTGCTGCTGCTCTTTGTGACCAAATACCACATCTGCCCCAAACTTCCGGCTGGGGTCTGGGAATCTAGAAATAGAAGACAACAGCTGAGGACATCTTGAGAATTCAGTCACAGGGCACTCTCTGCTATGCATCTCTCCTCCACTCTGATTGGGTTTGCCTTCCTCCATCTGGCCTGCATTCTCATTATGAGGTGTGGTACTTTCATATTGGGTTTTACTGAGGCATTGATATTATTTTACAATTCATTTGTATACTTCCATTCCATTGATTAAAGCATTCCAAAAGTTGTCTTGGAAAAAAAAATAACATGGGAACAAATACCAGAAGAAATGGTTGAAAATGAGACATCTCTAGGGAGAAGAGACCAGGAATTGGGAGGAATTGGCTAAGTAGAAATTCTAGTAAGAGCATAAAACTGTTAAAAATAATATCTATGTGTTACATTGAAAGGGAAAAGATTGACTTAGTGGCTAGGCTCATCCAGGGAGGGTGGAGAAGAAAGCAAGGTAAGCACTGTTTACCTTGTGCACAGTGATTTGCATTCTTGGCAGGGCTGAGGCCAGTCAAGTGCGATCCTTTAATCTGGCTCTTTCTTGCTTGCACACATATCAGCACATTGACACCTTCTTCTAGGGTGAGAGTCCACTTCACACTTGCACAGTTGCTTGGCTCCTCTGGCTACAGGGTGTCCAGCTCCTGTTTGCAGCTTCTGGAACCATGGCTTTCCCTGCGGGATTTGGTAGGGCTGCAGCCACTGCAGCCTATCAAGTGGAAGGTAGGAGACACTTCCTCCCTTTGTCCAGAGTTGGAGCAAATGGCTTCAGGTGGCTTCTGTATGGCCAGGCAGAGGGTGGTTTAGGAAAGGATTAAAGTGTCTACAATGGTGTAATCAAACTTTGCTCCCTTTTGGACAGAAGAGGCTCATATCCCCCCCCCCTTTATTTGATATCAAGAATCAAACTCAGGGATTCACGCTTGCCAGGCAGATGCTTTGCCACTGAGCTACACCCCTAGCCCTCTTCTCTGTTTCCCTAGGCACAAAGGGTGGTAGGATATGGAGATGGAGATCAAGCTCAGCTGTATGTTCCCTTAGTCCAAGCCTACTTTACTCACAGTTCACATAGAATCAGGTGCGTCTGTAATTGGTATTTGCCCCAACCTCTTTTAAGAAGACAACAGTTTATCTTGCTGGCTGGAAAAATACTGAGTAATTTCCTTCAAAATTCCCTTCATTAGTTGGAAAAAGTGCCCTGTTGTGTTTCTAATGAGCACAAAGGCAAGCAGAATGTTCTACAAGGCACCCTGTTTCCTGGGGAAACTTTACACCCAAGGGTAAAGAATTCAGAAAGGACTGGGAGTCTGAGCTGGTTTCCATCCTCCCGTGTATGAGCACGTGAGTCCATTATCCTCTTTGAACCTTGATTTCTTCATCTGTAAAACAGGAAGATTTACTTTTCTAAAACACATGTTCCCCCTGGCCCACGAAAAGGAATGAAGGATTGTTAATAGCTACCACAGGGAAAATATTTACTTGGTCAAATAAGGGTGTGGAACCCTGGGTTTAACAAAGCCCAGCAAGTTTTTTTGTAAGTAGCCTTAAGGCTGCTGTGATGAATTACTACAAGTTGTGAGGTTTAAGCAACACAATTTTATTCTCTTTCAGTTCTGGAAGCTAGCACCAGTCATTTGAAGATGTAATTAGCTAAATTAAGATGAGACCACTCCGGAGTAGGGTGGACCCATAATCCAACATGACTGATGTCCTATGAGAGGAAGGCCATTTGGACAGAGGCTTACATAGAATACCATATACAACAGAGCAGAGACTGGAGTGATGTAGCTATAAGCTAAGAAGCTCCATGGACAATGGCCATCTTCAGGAACCAGGAAGAGGCAAGGAAATTTCTACCTAGAGTCTCAGTGGGAGCATGGCCCTGAGGGTACCCTGAGTTTGAGCTTCTGGCTCTAGGGCTGAGAGAGAATATATTTTTGTTGTTTCAGCTGCTCTTTTTTATGACATTTTGTTACAGCATTCCTAGAAATCTACTAATACACTAACAAGAACAGGTAAGTCAGTCAATGAAATCATTGCCTCTCTCTTACGATGATAAGATGATGCTATGGAAAGGGGTCATATGAAAGTGGCTTCTTTAGACTGGGCAGCCAAGGAGGATGTCTGTGAATCAGTGTCATTTCATCTAAAACTTAAAGAACGGGAAGAGACACTTGAGAGTGGAGGTGGTGTGGGTTGAAGAGAAGGTAAGTATAGGTTGATCTTGGCAGAACCCATGCTGCCTACAATTCCCAGCATCCATTGCTGTTTCCCAGACCTGCCGAAGGGGGAATGGAGAATCTCTGCTGCAGTCGCCATCATTGGCACATGGAAGACTTCTCCCATGGGAGATGTTTTGCTCTGCGATGCCAGACTCTTTTTTAGAGAATGTCCAAAAATATCCTGGTAAACCAGAATTGCATTCTACCTTTCTCACTGCATGCTATCCTCTTTTCATCTTCTCCCAGACAATTTCCAAGTTATCAAGGTGGCAGATTAAGTAGGCTGGCCCTTAGAAGGGAAAACAAAAGAGAATCTTTGTTAGATTTCTGCTCAGAAGGGAAGTCAGACAGATTAGAGACGAGCAGCAGAGCACTGTGATGGAGTGAATAGAATCAGGTATGGGAAGCACTAGAGCTTGGTGATTGTGAAGATGGGCTCAGACTCCTCAGGCTGGGGGTCTCTCTTTACTTTTTATTAGCTTTGTGACTTTGGAAAGTTACTTAGCTTCTCAAACAACATAACACAACACAACTTTGGACATAATAAACTTAACAGTTTATTTGAATAAAGAAAGGTCTCATGAAGTGAACAGCACCCTGATCCAGTATAAGATCAGAGAGCTCAACTCAGCAGTGTGAAGAGGCAGAAGCTATAGACAGAAAAAGAAGTGATTCATAAAACTGCTTGACCACTGGCTACCATCAGCACTTGCTGTATTCAGCTTCAGTTTGCAGCCTATGTTTGACTGAAAGCTGGGCCGCTAAGACTAGCCAAGAATGGTTACTTGTTACAAGAATATACTCTAAAGTTAGATTAGAGTTTGTTTACCTGTTAAGTAGATTACACTTCTCTATGTATGGAGAAAACTAAAGGTGAAATTTACTTGAATTTAATTCCCCCCTGTGAGCTAGACTTTCAGATTTGATCTTGGTTGCAGACTGACAACATATTTTGGTCATGCATTTGGTCTCAGTACAGATTTCAGAATTCACAGTGTCATTTTAGTTGGATGATTTTTTATGCTTTTCTTATTTTTTGTTATTCTAGCCATAATGACATTACTCACTGTACAATATAAAGAAGGGCTGGCTAAAAGCATTTAAGACTCCTGAGAGCATGCAATGTGTCAGGGAGAATATTATGGTGGCTGTCAGGAGACTAATGCCAAGAAGTTAAAGTACTCTCCTTAATAAGGAGAGTAATAATCCAAACTTACCAATGTAAACAATCCATAAGTTCAAGCAATAAGGATAGCTCAACAATATTCAATTTCATCTGGTCATAGTTTTAGGGGATGAAAACAATTCAAGATCAAAGTCCACAAAATGATCTGCTTTGATAAGATACTGATTTTTATAGTTGGCCTGGTTACACAAGCCATACTGACATGGGAACCCACTGAAATAAACACAAAGATTAGAAAAGCTTGGAATAGCCAAGCTTCCCATCCACCATTCAGAATGCCTCCAAAGAAACTGTCAGCAGTTTCCCTAAACACATCATGTGTTTCTTCCGAGAAATTTCCTTTTGTATTTACTGACAGTATCTAGAGTGACAGTATCTAGATAAACAGAAGTATCCACTGTCTTTTAAAGTAAACTTTCTGCAGTCGTAAAACCATAGAAAGGTAAGTGCAACATTCAGTTTTGTTTAGTACCATACAAAAACCTCCAACATGGGCAAAAAGGAAATTTAAAGCTATATGATAAGTGATTGTGTTTTGTTAAGCATGAATGTTCTCACTCACCTTCCAAAGAATGGCTTATAAGTGTCGGAACCCCTGGGAGGTCTGAACAGTTGTTAAACATCCAAGATTTGCCCCAAATTGTGGGTTGGCTTTAAATTGCTGCCAACTGGCACTCCACCTCCAGTAAAAGTGAGTCCCCAGGAGCCCCTTTGAAACCTCCCCTTGGTGTAAAGTAACATCTTTATCTATTTCCAGGTTGGTACTGATTTCAGTTATTAACCACTCTGGACTTTGTTTATGGGAGGTTTTAAGTGTACTCTCAAAGAAAAACTCTTTGGAAGGCCAAACCAGGTCAAAGAGCCAGATCTGAACCAGAAGGGAGGCACAATACACTTAGAGAATTCTCTAGATACTGAACATTTCAGAGACAAGTGCCCAATCTGCAAGCCAAAACCACTTATTTATCACAAAGTGCCAACACTGCAGTTAAATCTGCATGTAGAGGTTTTACTTTAGAAAAAACAACCCATACATTAACATTTTTTTGTCTTAAAAGAAAAACACACGTGGCACAGGTTTGCCACCACTGATAGGCCATCAGTGGTTGCAAAAGAGGGACACCTAGTGGCATACGAGCAGAGGTGAGTTAACTTTGCCTGTAAATCTGTTTAGCTCCTGAAAAAGGTCCAGGGCGAAACTTACTTTTTGTGTTTTCTTTTTAAGTCCCTGCTCACTTCAGACTGGAGCAGCCTTAGCCCGTCTAGTCTCACCTCCTGTCTTCCGGAGGTCTCAGTGTGCTGCCCCTCTCTGCCTGGAGACAGGTTGTCTTATGTTCTCCTGTCTGAGGCTTGCTTCTTGCTTCTGTTAACGGCTTCATCTGTGGGCTCTAACTGGGTGTTGTGCTGTTAGCTCTATATGGAGAGTTTTCATGGTGGGGAACTTGAACCAATGTGGTGTCAAGAGTGGTAGACTGCTATTTTTGTCAGCTCCCAGAATGTCTTTTCCATGTTTGCTTGTTTTCTAGCCTATGAGTTCTGGGTTTGGATCCTAGCTCAAGCACTTACTAGCAGAGTCAGGGTAAATAACTTATTTGGGCCTCTGTTTCCTTATCTGTAAAGTAGGAAAGTGGTCACAGGCCACTTTGTAGGTTTGTCTTAGGTTACACATGTGTTGGGAATACAACAGTACCTGGCACATAGTGCTTACTAAATACTAATACCCATGCTAATAACAATAGTATTATTATTTTTTTTTCCTTTTTGGGATTGCAGTTGCTGATAAGGAGCCTTAGGTTACCTGCTCCAGTTAGTGGGAATGTTCATTTCTTACTTTGACTGAAAATCAGAACAGATTCCCTCTTTTCTCACCCCTACAATCTCTTCCTCAATATCCTACATTACAGATGCAGGAAACTAGCACATAGCTTTGTCAAATCAATGTGGCCTGGGATTTAAAAGCTGAGGTCAGCCCGTCACTTTTTGGTTTTGAGAATCTTTGAACTTTTGTGCTGTCCTGGCCTCCAAAAGTCTGCAGAGCCTTTGGAAGTTATAAATGTTCAGGAAAGTTGAGAAATGAGTATGAATTGTGTTTGTAAAATCAAGACAAAAACCCTGTTTGGTGGCATGTTATAAAACATTGTCATATATCTCCTTCCACTGATTGTGTATGCAGGTGTACTTATGTTCACATATGTCTCTTGCAGGCTCTGAAAGATCAGTAGCATTCACTCCACTCACCCTGTCAGAAATGGAGCTATCCTTTTGCTGGAGTGGAGGCTGGTGTCAGGGTCTTTGCAAGGAGAGGGAGAATGGCT